AAATGTGCGATTGACAGCATCATAAGCAATGCCCATTTCATGCACTATGTTCAAAAGATAGAACTCCTTGCAGATGATACTATAGTTATTATTTGCTTTGTCAAGGGGGCAAAAAACGCATTTGTCCTACTATTGTTTGATTAAGTGGTAAGGCATGTGTTTTAATATATTTTCAATATTAGCCTTCGTTAGTGAAGGTATTACTTTGTCATGGTAGCATAAACGTCAATATTTCTGTAACAGATCAACTCTGTGATTGCGAGCTTGAAGTTCACATTAAAAAAACCCATGACCTTGATGAGTGTATCTTTAAACACTATTAACCTCTTCTGTTGTTATGCCTGTGTTTGATCTATATTTTGTTCCTTTGTTCAACCCTAAAACTCTCCCTTTTAGTGCTATATGAGGTCAGCCTATCCGAAGTTCCACCCTCGCGCTACTAACCAACGAACTCATTGATCTTGCACATTGCAAGGACAAGGGTCCCCGCGGGTGCACGGAAGTGAGTGTACAGTTTGTAGTCAAGCTGAAGCTATTGAAATGTAGAGAGGTTGCATGCGCAATCAGGCCACTTTTTGATTCCGGGAAATAGCCGATAACCTGCATGTTTGCATAGGTACTGTTAGGCAAAGCCCACTTGCGGAAGCAAATCGAGCCCATGTTTGCCAAAAATCCCTTTCTGGATGAAGTCATACCCTCTTCAGTGGCACAGTATCCGACGTAAATCACTCTGCTGCTAATACCCGGCTCAGCCGCACTAAACACAGCCACAAGTTCTTCCAAGCATTGACTGTTCCATCAGGAGCTTCGTGCAGATACTCTACCCCAAGGGCGTGGTATGAACGAACCAACTTTCCTCGACACCTTGTTGATTTGATTCGGTTTGGCGTTCAGAATGGTATCAGTTAACTGAGGGCAATCAAAGAACCACGATAAGAGCGAAGCTAGCTCCGCATTGAATTCCAACTCGGGCAAATGAAAAACGGGAAAATGAGTAATCGATGGAAATTGTGAAGGGAGATTTGAAATGGGTAGTGGACAAAGGTTCTGAACATGGAGCCAGTTGGACGGCTTGATTCCAGAAAAATTGAAGAACGAGTGCAGTTGTTGAGAACCCTTGAAAACCTTTTGACCATTTGATTATAGCGTCTCGGTAAGTCGAACCAAGTCTATCTCATGCAAAAATAACATATGTTGAAATTTGACAAGACTCCACTGTGTTATACTCTTCAGCCAGAAAATTCCAGTGAGAAAGTGGTGACGAAGTGGTAAGGTCTCTTTGTCAGGAATTGAAATGCGACATTTAGCAGTATTCGGTGGACGAGAAATTGGAAATCATTGAGTTCGCTAAGGGCAATGGAAATCGCGCTGCTGGTCGGGAATACAATGTAGCGGAAAGTTCAATACGAGAATGGCGGAAGAACGAGGAAAAGCTCAGGTTAGTTGTGATTGTCCGAAAGCGATTAGTGTTCCCAAGAAGCTTCTCCTTCATAGTTTCTCTTGGGCACTGCTCTCTCTCAATCTATGACTGAAAATCCTTTCTCAACATAATATCATTCGAGATGCTCGCTCTTTGACACTTCAAAGTGATTGCGAGGTGATTTCAATCTTTGCTACCTACAGTGCGTAACAAAAGTATGTGGACACCCCAAATTTTGATTTTGCGAAACTGCCTCTAGATATTGCGATCTGAGAACATCACTGTTAAATTCCTCATTCGCGAAAGTATAGGAATGCATTACCTACGAGCACATTGTGAACTACTGAGCAATGATTTATTGTTTTGAAAAAATTTCTTAATAACAAAAGTATGAGGACACCTAACAAAAAACAAAAGTATCATGGAAATTAAAAGTTGGTTCTCCCTCCCGCGTTCGCTATTACTTCGAACATTCCGTCTGGCATGCTGTGGACAACATTTGTGATAGTGTCTTCGTCGATTTAATCCCATGCAGCACTACAGCCTCCTTGAGGTCTCGCACGCTGTTGTACTGCCGATTGTTCATGTAAATTTGTCGAACCACAATTCCCCACAGGTTTTCGATTGGGTTCAGTTAGGAAAACATACCGGCCAATCCATCACTTTGATACCATTGCGTTGGAGCCACTTTATAGTAGAATTTGAAACATGCACGGCAGCGTTGTCCTGCTGCAGCACACGTGTCCTGGGTCGTGGCCCACTCAGAAAAAGCAAGAGGTAGGATTCGAGCACTCCTTGATATTCCTGACTGTTCATACGGCACGATGGGAAGGCGAGCTCTAATTTCCCGCTGGTTCCAAAACCACCCCACACCATCAAAGAGCCTCTTCCGGAATTTCGCCTCGAGAACAGCATTGGATCGCGACGGAGGTCCCCCGCGACGAAGGTCTCTCCAGTAGTGCCGATATCCATCTGGACCATCGAGATCGGACTTTTTTTCATCGGTGAAGATAACCTAAGAATGAAAAGCGCATGGGATGTTGCCTTTCTGATTTTACAAATTTCTCAAAAAGCTTCACCTTGTCCCACGACGTCGCCATGTTTGCAAGCGCGAAGTTCACTCTCGCCAGCTGGTGTTGGGTAGTCAGGCGAGGAGCTTTCTTCATGGTCTCTCGTGTGATATGCTCATTTGATCAAACATGACGCCATATCGTCACTTTTGAGACCGGTAGATTAATTGCAGCATGGATCTATCTCACAGAAAAGGAGGAGTTTGAGGCGACCCACGCTATTCTTCTGATGTCTTTTACGGACAAAGATCGAGGACTCCCCGAAATATGTGCTGAATGGTAGCCATCAGGATTCTGGAGGTATTTACCAACGCACGTTGCCGAACGTCCGAGCTGTCTTGCAATTTCTCTGTTTGAGTGTCCAGCAGCACTGAGAGCTCGAATCTGAGATTGTTCGTCTTCGGGGAGAGTACTGCCACGACGAGGCATGGGTACAGATTAATGGGGAGCAGAGACGATAGATATGGGTTGCAGTTTGGAGTCAAACTTTGAATTTTCTCAGGTGTCCACATACTTTTGTTATTGAGAAATTTTTTCAAAACAATAAATAATTGTGCAGTAGTTCACAATGTATTCAGAAGTAGTGCATTCTTATACATTCGCTTATGAGGAATCTAACAGTGATGGTCTCAGATCGCAAAATCCAAATGCAACTTCGCAAAATCAAAATTTGAGGTGTCCACATACTTTTGTTACGCACTGTAGTCCGCTCCCGATTAATAAGGATAAAGTCTATACGCAGCCAAGTCCTAGCATTCCTTTCTTGTTCAAGAACTGTAGTTCGGTCTCCGAGGGTTTCCTCACTTTCGCGGCCTCATAGTGGATGCTGCGACCGTCATGTATTGTATGTATGCAGAGGGAGGGGTAAAGAAAGACACTTTTCTTCCTCGATTTTCAAGGCTTAAGTTTGTACACTGTCGCGATACTCCGACATAGCCTTCTGGACAAACGCCATCGAGGATGCTGTTACGCGAGTGATTCGATGCCAGAGTTCAGCGAGGTTGCTGATTTCTCCGTCACTCACCCTGTTGAGGCTCCGCGCAAACCCGGTAATTAAGGGGGTTTGGGTCAGGCGACGCACTTGAATTCCGTCTTCTTCGGGTACTCAACGCCCCTCGGTTCCGAATTGGCGAGAGTTTTTCCAACGCCCCTCGGTTCCATGTGCGCACCCAATCCAGCAGCAGTACGAAGTTTCAAAGATGGTTCAGGCGACGAATAAAGACAGGATATTCTCCTCGAGTTGGATGTAACTGTCAGCATTCACTTCTAGCCCGGAGTCCACGAAGAAAATGGTTTTCTCCTTCCAGGAACTTCCGGTCCGTACCATCGACCCGCGCCTTGGCGACCGCGGTGAAGATGATATCGTGGACCGTGGAGCTGCTCGATGTTGGTATTCCGGCTGGAGGTATTCCAGTTTCCGAGTGCCGGTCTCCAAGTAGCTGTCCATGGGTGACTCCATACAAGAAGTTCTGCTGCTGTTGGAGGTTACTTGAATTCCATTGATCTTCTCTAGTCAGGCTGCGATTGTAGATGATTTCATATTTTGGTGTATATGAAAGTAATGGACGAGGGCCTGCTTCTGCTTATCGAGGAACATCTTGGGTATCTTCCGCCCTTGTACTCGTATCCACGACTTCTGCCTAGGCTGCGTAAACTTTACGAATATGTGACTCACCAGAGTGTCTTTTTGCCCCCCCCCCCCGTATATACCGCCTTCAGAGTGAGTCGCCCATCACAAGCAGAGTTTGAACAACGGTCAAAATTAAACTTTTCCGGTCTCTCTTGTCTTCGTGATCTGTTAAAATTAAGTGCTCGGATCGCATTCTCATTCTGGTCGTGCCAGTCCTCGTAAAAAAGACATGAGTTGAGGGTCACTCCACTTTATGTATTCTTCTGAGTTTTGTAGTTCTGTATACGATACACTATAAATACTGGCAATATGTGAGTCTACATATAACTTCACACGTTAATGTGCTACGCAGTACCATTTTTCTCTTGTCATCCGGGTTGACAGGGTCGCAAATTTGGGCACTATCGAACTATCACCTATCCAGCCATCCCAAAAACTCAAAAACCTTTTTTCGCTGAACCTCGTTTACAGCGATCATCTGTTTTTTTTGACCACGAATAAAACATCCATTTTTTTGGCCCCACCGCCATGGAGCGCTGCGAAGGCTATTCACGGGAGGCGTGAAGCACCACCATTTTCGTAACCAGAACATCAAATAAACTTCGTAGACGAGTTTATACAGGTTGTGGCGACAAAATGATTGCGCCAAACCGGCTCCAAATGGCGTCTGCAGCACACCAGAGGTCATATCAGTGACCAGGGCACCAAGGAACCACTAGGTTCGAAATTCCGGCTTTTTTGAGTAACTGAGGTAGTACCAGTTGGGCAGGCTCAGCGTGTCTTTGATTCACAGGCTCGAGTAACATACTTGCCCGAGAAAAGCTTTGAAATATTGCAGGGCTGTGAACAACTGCGAATCGGAAAAACAGGACTCAGCGGAGGCTGTATCGCGGCAGCGCGCGATAGGGCAAATTGAAAACCATGATAAGGATAAGGTGAATTTCTTCTTTTTGTTTGATTCTCTTTTAGGGCGTAGCCGCAACACACAGGGTGACCAACTTCTATTGAGTCAATGGATTTTCTTTTTCAATGGTTTTTCTCAATGTGTTTTTATGTATGACATCCATCGGAATACCAAGTTTGTTTTTCACACTTCACGCGACTATACTTTTCTCCCTGCTGCTTTCTATGCTATACTTGTATCAACTCTGTCGCTCGTCGAACAGGAAGTCGAGGAGAGGAGGCTGGATGGCGTGCCCGCCAGCTGTCATGTTTCTGGGACGCTGCTGCTGTAATTCCCACGTCCACCAAGCACCTGCAGCCGTTCTCTTGGATGGGACAACTCGTCCAAGCCAATTATCATCTTGATTCTCGTAATTGATTGAACAACACTGGTAGGACGCCAACATAGACGCTGATTTGCGAATTGATGACGTAACTACGCGCACTCGTCTGTTTTCAACTAACTTTCGACTTCTTTCCCCGAACCCTTCACTGCGAGCCTCCACTTTATTCCGCCTCTGGTAAATTTTGTTCGGTTGCTCAAATACTTAATTTCCATGCCGTTTGCTTGCTGGAAGAGCATAGTTTCATGACCATTATAAAATCGTGACACATCTTCTTTTTGGTTCGCACACACCTCACTTCTCCTTCTCAAGGTTTGCCCTCACATGTTCCTGACAGTTTTCCACACCTTCGTACAACACTCCGTGTTCCCCACTGTTCTACACCTACAAATAGAAACACCACATTTTCATTTTTTTTACCTGGTATTACTTTAACACTTGTACTTCTTGCACTAGTGAATACGTGAAATATGTCATGTCGTCACTGGAAGAGTTCAGCGTAACGTTATTCTTCGAAAATCATCAATTGCTCTGCGAAACCCTTCTAGTGTATTCAGCCCCTTAACTGTATCTATGATTAGCAAAGTAGCAACTAAAATTCTCACATTGCTTAGGAGTGGCATTTCCATTAATTACTGCCATAGGGGAGTGAGGGGAAATGGGACGTGCTGATTTCGTTTGATAGGCCCAAAAGAAACACAAAATCTCCCGTACATCTTCTCGAAATTCCGTCACTCTCCCATGGCAGTAATTATGAGGAATGTCACTTGTCAGCAGATCAGAATGTCAGTTCCTAATCATGAATACTGTTGTGCTGAGTGGCGAACGAAGATGTAATAAATTGTAAGGAACTCTTAAAAGTAAGCCTTAACAAAGAAAAACTAAGCTGCGAGCAAATTGAGAAGAAGAATGTGTCGTGATCCTATGCTCTTCCAGCAAGCAAACAGCATGGAAATTAAGCAATGTATAAAACTTGCCGCCGTATTGGAATCGCCGCAGTTGTACAGAAATGCAATGAAGAGTACTAGTCGATAATCATCGTCATAGCTGGACAAAATAATACCAGAGAAGTGAATTGTTTGTCTAAATGAATGGTGCGGATCCAAGAAGACGGCTGCAAAGGCTCGGTGGAAGTGGCAATTACGGCCAGCAGCGTCCCAATTACAGTTACGGTTCATCCAGGCTGCGTTGATTCGGGCATTCACCGCCTGGTCCACGCTGCCATCAGCTGCTAGGTTGCTCCCCAGGTACTGAAAATCCTCGACCTTTTCGATGCTCTCGCCATGGCGGTCTACGATGAGTTCTGTACACTCTTTGGAGCTCAGGAACTTGGTCTTCTTCACGTTCAGCCGGAGTCCATTCTCAGCGAGCATATTCTGCCACCGCTGCACCTTGTCCTGGAGCTCTTCCCTGCTGTCCGCTATCATGGCGATGTCGTCAGCGTAGAGGATGGTTTTCAGTGGACCCTCCACGAGTTCTTTTGCCATGACATCCAGAGTCATGAAGAAGAGGAAAGGGCTGAGGGCTGATCCTTGGTGTACCCCAACCGTAATGCTTACCTCCTTTGTCAAGCCATGAGGGGTGCGTACACCTGCTTCGGCCCCATCGTACATGTCCTTCACTATGGAGATGAGGTGTTCCGGAACGTTACGTGCTCTAAGCGCTCTCCAGAGTACAGGCCTGAGCAAGCGGTCGAATGCCTTCACAAGGTCCAGGAAGGCTGGGTAGCAGGGTCGCCGCTTCTCTCGGTACTTCTCCATCAGCCGTCTGGCGATGAAGATGGCAAAGGTGGTGGACCTCTGGGGCATGAAGCCGAACTGTTCCTGCGAGATAGGGACTAGTTCCCTCAGCCGGGTGTGATATTGTTGGGAACTATACGGTAAGGTTACTGTAAAGTGGGCGGGGCCCCGCCGGTGTGGCCTGGCTCAAAGCCTACGGCGTGACCCCACTTAATTACCTAGACTGGCTGACCTGCTGACCTCTCACAAGAGGCCATTCAAAGACAAAGAGATAAAGCGAATGCAATTGAGCGAGATTATCAAGCGGGGCCCAGTCAAGAACAAGTGGAGCAGTGTAAGAGGATGGCTAAATATACTTACTATAAATCCGAAGAATGTCTGCCATTTGATACACATTGAATAAAATATGTCACCAATGAGACTAAATGATTTTTGAGGCGTAAAAATTTTTATGATTCGTTCTATGTGAATTGTTCAAGTTGTGAGTTTCTTAATAATTATAATAATAATTTCATTGTGTTGGCCAATAAGTATTGGCGTTTTTACTCACGTAACTTTATATGTGTTTATCATTCCACATATAAAGTTACGTGAGTAAAATACTTATTTATAATGAATATCCATGAATAAGGTTATTCACCAAGCTCTCAGTTGAACACAATAAGGCAAGGTCCGATGCTTCTCTGTGAGGTCTATATTGTAATATTTAAATCGCTAGAACCGTCATAATCATTCCTAAGAGACACAGCGTCTTAGTCATATACTTACCTTCTGGGTCTAACGGTTTTAACTTCTCAGTTAGAAGTGAAATGGGGAGAGACTGTCGAAAATGCTCAGTTTCGTCAGCGTGACCCTTCAGTTTGAGCACTTAAACATTATTACTAATTTCTAATGAGTTATACACTTTTTGTATAGATAATTTTCGGCTCTAGAGTTAGCATGGTTGTCTTCAACAACTAATTTCTCGAACTGTGCCATTTTTTATTTGACTGAAAGGCAAGTTCGGGTTGATTCAAAAGTGAGTTTTCGACCATTACTTTTTGCACTTTATCTCGGCTCTTAAACCTCAGGAGAAGCAGATACTTCCTATGGCAGCTTGAAGTTAATTCAAGCGGTTAGTAGGTGGAAATTTGGATCTTGTAGATGTGCAACGCATGGGGGGTCCTCCTGGGGAGCGACGGCCTGCAGAACCTATCCACTAATTTTCGGAGTATAACATCAACTGACGGTGGTAGTTGATGATGATAAGGAAGCGTTCCGTGACTTGAACGATTCCTCATCCCTGGTATGAATATCCATGAATAAGGTTATTCACCAAGCTCTCAGTTGAACACAATAAGGCAAGGTCCGATGCTTCTCTGTGAGGTCTATATTGTAATATTTAAATCGCTAGAACCGTCATAATCATTCCTAAGAGACACAGCGTCTTAGTCATATACTTACCTTCTGGGTCTAACGGTTTTAACTTCTCAGTTAGAAGTGAAATGGGGAGAGACTGTCGAAAATGCTCAGTTTCGTCGGCGTGACCCTTCAGTTTGAGCACTTAAACATTAGTGGGAGTAGACAGTTCAAGGAAATTGAAAAGACTGTCATGTAGGGCAAGGAATTCTCTACAAAAAATGATAAAACGCTATGGCAAAAGTCTTCATTTTCAGGCGGATATTCCGAGTAAGAAGGAAACGCCATTACTTATGGGCCTATCCAATAGGTGCTACTAATAATAATAATAATAACAATAATAATAATAGAATAATAATAGCAATAATAATATTAGAATGTGATAAAGTGCTTCATTTATTCGTTCAACCCGATATTGTATTTGCATTAGAAAGGCCGAGGTCAGCAGTCGCCGCACGCAACTCGATGAGGTCACACCCCAGGCGATAATTAAAAGGACGAGATACGCTCCGCCTCATCCTACAGTAATTTACCGTATACCTTCCCAGCTATATCTGCATACCCCCTCAGCCTAGTGTTGACCAGGCGCTCGTGCCGGGCTGTCGATCACCTCTTAATTAGGTGCGATCGTACCCATTATGGCTAACCATTATAAGTGAGCGAACAGCGTGATCAATGAGAGGTCAGGAGGCAGCGAGCAAGTAATTAAGTGAGGTCACAGCGCAGGCGACTCTGCCACAATGAGAGAGGAGCTGCGAAAAAGTGGACTGCACGAACGTCACATACTCTTATCAGATCAGTAGAAACGATCCTGAGCAAAAAGAAAAGTACGTGAGTCTAGGTTTCAGTACCCGAGATCAGCGCCGGAATGAAAGGACCCAGTAAAAGCCTTCACCTCAACCCCATCAGGCGTCTTTAAGATGACTTGAAGCATGAGTCAAAGGGAAGAAGGTACCAACGACTGCGCATTTCCATGCATTTTAAAGGATTTGGAGTCGGATACTAGTGGATAAACCTGAAGCTCCTGAGGTGTCGACTCCACGGATTGAAGCCTCTAATGGCAAGTGCAGTAGTAAGCGAACCAAATCCAGAGCTGATTTTTTCTTGTTGAATTTGCGCTATCTGCCCACCTTTCCACTGTATTGCTGTTGAATAAGTGCTTCAGAGAGCTAGGGAGAATGAAGGTTGGGAAACCAGTGGGTCCAGACGAGGTACCGATAGAGGCATGGAAGGCCCTTGGAGAGCATGGGGTGAGTTGGCTCACACACTTCCTAAACAACGTAACAGCTGAAAGAAGGATGTCGGATGCGTGGAGGAGCAGCACAATCGTCCCAATCTTCAACAGAAAGGGGACGCGACGGAGTGCTCCAACTACCGCGGCATGAAGTTGACTCCCCATACTATGAAGCTGCACGAGCGCCTGGTCGACACTAGATTGAGGGAACTTGTCCCTATCTCACAGAAACAGTTCGGCTTATGCCCCAGAGGTCCTCCACCGATGCCATCTTCATCGTCAGACAGCTGATGGAGAAGTACAGGCGGCGACCCTGCTACCAAGCCTTCCTGGGCCCTGTGAAGGCATTCG